TTTTTCGAATTTTTTCCAATGAAAATACGAATAATCGAAATCCGAATCACGACGATACTGAAGAATCACCTCCTAAGCTGGAAACATGTTTGAACAAAAACAAACAAAAAAAAACACATTTTTTTAAAAAAAGTTTGTCCAGTTTTGAATTTTACAAGATTTTAACTGTACATTAATCACGGACACATTTCCATTCATTGATGTATGATATTAATTTTCATTGATATATATATATATATATTTTTTTTTCTTTTTCCCCAAAACACAAGCAAGTTTCCTCTCCTATGTGTTCTAGATTCATTGTTGTTGTCAGTTGGCTTGAAAGTATTTACTTTTCAATCAATTTGGACTACCTTGACTTGCTTGTGTAAAAATATTATAGAATAGTTTTAATTCTCCCACGCAGATACGCCTCTGAAACTCATATGAAAAGACGTGTACTGTCTGGTAGCTAATCAGACAAAACCGAAGATCAATTGATCCCGGAATAATCGATCAACGAGGAAGGGTTTGCTGGTACTCTACCGTGTGATAAGCCCGAGAAGAGGGGAGAGCCTACAAAGGGGGGCCTAACCTGCTAGATTTATTACACTACCAATCGAAGGCGATTCAAAGCCGGGGTTATTTGTGGTAGAGAGTACAGGATCTATAAATAACCTATACAAAAAAAAATGTCAACCCACAGATCACCTTTCTGACTTGGTATATTACCCATTTCTATATGATTGGCTCAACTCTTTCTCCAAAGAACCGTAATCAAATATCACCAGGCAGTCCCTGTCGTGTGTTCCAGGGGGGTGGGGGGAAGGGGGGAGGGGGCGCTAAATATAGAAGAGACGAATGAATACAAAAATGATATCCGTCGGAGAAGAAAGAGAGAAGAAGGGGATGGAAGGTACTGGAAAGAAAAATAATTTTTAAAGGGCTACATGCATTTAATAGCACATAATAACACGAATAATTAAAATAATTTAATTGTTTGGCTGTAAATATCTTTAAAGAAGTAGCTATCAACTAGCTAGCCTTGATTAGACCGATAACTTCATTTTTTTCTTATGGGCAGAATACCCGCTTTAAATCATTTTACGATTTTAGATCAACTGTAAACGCCACTTTAAGCGGATTTTAAACCCCCCTCCTCTTCCTCCTCATGCCCCTTAGTCCTTGGACGGTTGGGGCGCCACAGATGACATGTGAACCATCCTCCTCCATTCCTCTCTGTCTTCAGCACCACGCACAGCATCGCCCAGTGTTAGTCCTATCCACTCTTTGATGTTATCCTCCCACCTTTTTCTTTGTCTTCCTCTTCTTCTCCCTCCTCTTGTGGTGCCCTGCAATATTTCTTTGGCAAGCCCTTGTTTCCTTGTTACGTGGACGTACCATTGTAATTT